AAAAGTAAATATCTCAAAGCACATAGAAACTGAATAAAACTTACTCTTCTTCTACATCATAAATTATGCACATCTGTTATCTTTTTCCAAGGAGTATTTGGAACAAGTCATCAATTCCTAGAGAGTGTTTGGAGGGGAGGAGAGCACAAAATTACATATTAGGAGTTTTTGATTTTCAACCAACCGTCAACTGAGTGATATTGTCATAGAAAAAATACTCAAAGCATTTTTTATTGATGGCTTTAGATATGTTATTAATAATGATTCATTATTAAAATATGTAAAGTGTAATTTATTACCAGTACAGTAATTTCCCTTATTTAGTTATTTCTTTGCAAAGACATTTACATTGCTCAAAAATCCAAAAGTACAATGGAAAATCTCACTCTATCCACCATCTGCCCTACCCTCACTAAGCATTGATTTTAGTTCTAGAAATAAATCTACAAAATAAATTCCTAGAAGTAAAAGTTCTGGGTCAAAGGTTACATGCATTTGATAGATAGTGCCAAACTGTCTTCCACAAGGGGTACACCAATATATACGTCCCACCAACCATGAAGAAGAATCTATATTTTCCCACAGCCTTGACAGCAAACTTGGATTTTTGCCAGTACAATAGATGAAGTTCTCATTTTCATTTCTCTCATTATGACCAAAGTTAAGCTTATTTTTGTGTGTTTAAAATCATTTGTATTTTCCTTTCTGTGAACTGTCTTTATCTTTTGACCAATTTTCTTTTGGGTTGTTGGCCTTTTTCTTATTAATTAGCAGAAGCTGTTTTATATGTTAGTAAATTTCATCCCTTGTGTGAGATATAAGTCACAAATTATTTTTTTCACAATTTGACATTCGTCTTTGACTTTGCCTATGGCTTCCTTGGTCATGCAGAAGCTTCTGATTTTTACATAGTTCGGTTTACTGATATTTTTGTCTGATAATTAAAGCTATTTAACTTGAGGGTACAATTTCCATTTTTTATGCAGTTGACTACCCTGGACATAATATTGCTACTTATATTAGAAAACAAAGAACTTAATCTTGAATTTGGAAATTGTCTTTAATTCAACAAACTTTTATTGAAGGTCTATCATGTGCAGGAACCCAGCTTGTCCAGAAAGCAAAGCTTAGTGAGAGAGTCAATGTAAATAATAAGGTGAATAGTGTGAGGCAAATGTTATGATTGAAGGAAGCACAAGGTTTGTGAGGATCTACCTAATGTGACATCATAATTAAGCTGAAAATGTAGTCTCATTATAAGCTATCATTTGGTTATTTCACATATTAGTCAAATCTTACCCATTGCACTGTTTTCTGTCAGGAATTGTTCTACCTCTATAACCAAGAAGGGATAGGTTGGGAGGGTGATAAGGAAACCAACAATTTTAGTTAAATGCCATACAGATTTCTGTAGCCTAAATGAAACGTGTACGATAATGTGATCAGATAAAATGACTTCATAGCTCAATTTTAGATATTTTACGAAAATATGATGCCTATTATCTCCAGTAGCTTCAGAATCTAGAGGCTCTTAGATGCTGTTATTTGAAGCTGTAAAATGCTTTTTACATGTACTTGTGAGTAGAAAATGATCCAATAAAAATAAAATGTTTAGTTACCTCCTTTTAAATGCGAGGAAAAATAAATTGAGGGCAGTATTAGATTATGTATTACAGACATAGAATTACATTTGTGATATCACCTATGTATCTCTTTCTCTGTCTCCCTCACACACACACACACACACACACACACACACATACACACAGAGCCACAGAGATAAAGAGAATTCAACACTACAGGTGTATTTATGGATTTGAATTCACGAAACACAAATAGGCAGGACTAATTCATCTAATACTATATTTACTTGGCTTTATATCATGATACAAGTCAAGCAAAGTAGATACAGCATCATGATTCATTATTTGTGGACAAACAATCCGTGCTACCTGAGCATTGTGTTTCTTTTGCCCCCTCACCCACACAGATAAAGGCTGCCAGGGATGAGAGCCAAGATGTGTGCAGGTCACCTTAAATAGGATCCACCACTGCTATTTCCTTTCAATCTTTTACACCTTTATTCCCAAGGCCTGTATTCCAACTCACAGCTCCCTCAATCAGATGCATTTCCATACAACAAAAGCAGGCCAAACATTTCCCATTCATCTTAAAGTTAGTGTTTCCAAGGAAACAGTGCTGTGAGAGCCTAGGGTAAGTCCCAGGATGGCCTGCATCAGCCTAGGCTTGATGTGAACCCTTTAGTCATACATTCATATGCATTCTACACAATATGTATAAATGTATTTACAATATGTTTCAATGTACATATTGTTTACATATAAGATCTTGTTTAAAATTCCTTTTCTTATAAATTAGTTGAGTAATTATTTTGTCCATTAACGTTTCCCTTTTTCACCTCATAACTCGTGTATCCAATTAAAGAAAGTAATGTTTATTAGTGAGTTCTTAAAAAATATCTAAAACAATCATTCCATAATATGTGGCTTTGCTTAGATGATGTACTAATATATTAGTATGCTTATCTAGTTTCCTTTTTAAATGTTCTCTATTATTCATAATATAGAAATCATATATAATAGATGCATATTATAACATTTTATTTATATTATATTATTATATTTATATTATAATGGTATTAATAATATTATAAAGAGCCGCCATTATGAGTTTACAACCTTTATTCTGGTATACTAGTTTTAATGCTTGATATTCTGAAAAAGGGTTTTACTCTTGTTTATCCTAACCCTGTATTTACATTTGAGCTTGAGCAATAATCACTAACATTAATGACTTTATTGTCATTCACTGTCATGCAGAGTATTGCTCCAAGCACTTTTCATGGATTGCTTTATTTAGTCCTTACAGTAACCCTGTGAAGCAGGTGCTGTCATTGTTCCCAATCTATACAGGAAGCATTGAGAGTTAGAGCAAACTTGGCTAAAGTATTAGGCAAGAGCCAGAACCAGGATTTAAATCCCAGCAGCCTAACTCTAGACTCCACGATGTTTAACACCATGTCATACTGTTTCCTAAGTTATTTAATGTTTTTCAAATCTAATGTCATTATTCATGTATAAAATTGGGATTTTAAAGAGTACCTATACCATAGGGCCATTGGGTGGATTAAAGAGTGCAGTAAGTGTGAAACTTCTAAGCATGATGCTTGGTATATACTAAGCCCTTAATAAAAATAAACCTATAATCATTCTGTTTTATTCTACGCCAATCCAAATGTTCCTTTTACTTTTTTATTCCAATCATCTCTGTCTGTTTTACTTGATTTCTCTAGGGCTCACAAACAATAGCTTGGAAAAAATGCATACATACCTCATCGATTTTCTTTGTACATAAAAAGATTTCTTTTTACATAAAAAGATTTCTTTTTACAATTTCCCTAACATAGAAGAAAGCTAGAGGCGAGTATAGTAGAAGAAATGATTACTATACAAACAAAAGTTATAGTTTGGTTTGGTTTTAATTTTAGGATGCTCTTTGAATATAAATCACTCATTTGAGATTTAGAAGATCTATGTTATATATCTGGTACTAATGCTGAATAACTTGGCTTATTCATTTTTATAACTGCCAAGGCAATGTGTCTGACATGTAATATACAACACACCATTACGTTTGGTAAGTGAGTGGATAAATGAAGAATGTGCTCCTTTACTTTTATCGGTTGAAGTTGAGTGTGCATTTGTGTAAGGTGTGTGTTTTAAATTTCCAAAAAGGCATTCATGTCTTCAAAGTATAGAATTTTTTAAGGGTGTTAATGAATAATCTCTAGTACATTAATTAAATAATCCTAACATGTAACATATGTAAGTCATCAATATCTAGCTGTTAAAATACCAAAAGCAGTAAATTTCTGTAACATTTCATGATAAATAATTTTTGAAAATGTTTTTCTTTTTTGTTTATACCTTGAGAATTGTTTACCTTTTTGATTTTTTTTTCCTTTCAGGTTTCTAGGGCTTTACCTGAGAAACAAGTAGAAATTGAAGCTCACATAAAAGACCTTGGGCAGCTTGAGAAAAAGCTTGAAGACCTTGAAGAGCAGTTAAATCATCTGCTTCTGTGGCTGTCTCCTATTAGGAATCAGTTGGAAATTTACAATCAACCAAATCAAACAGGACCATTTGACATTAAGGTAGGAACTTTTTGCTTTAAAAGGTTTGTTTTCTAAAAGAATAGCAATATCACTGAATTAAGTTCCTCATTCGTTATCATTGTTGAAGAAAAAATTATTACTTTTAAAGCACAGCGAGGAAGACTTTATTCAGGATCATCACAGTGGTTACAGGGACCAATTTGATGGGGTCTTGCAGGAGAAGGAGAAAGGTTGGGCTCAACTCCAAATACATCATGAGCAAGTGGTAATTTATAGCCATGGAGCAGGATAGGGATCAGTGGATGGAAAATTACTAAGAGTAAACATCAGGGGCAAGGGGATTTTGACTAATCTGACCTAACAGGATTCTTACTGAAGCCAGGCCAGGGTGATCAGACATCACTTGGAGGATGGTAGAGGATGAGGAACCCAATCTGATATTGAGAGTGAGCAGATGTTGAGGATGGGGAGTTATTGCTAACCTGACTTAGCAGGGCTCTTTGCTAAAACTGGATATTACAAGGAAGTTCATAGATGGGCCTAGGAGAAGGTTCAGAAGCCTGATTCAAGTTTAGCCAACCACAAAATCTTTGTCATCATCATTATCATATTTGTTATAATGATATTAATAATTATTATTATTTGACTAGCTTATTCAGGTTTTCTTTCTTCCAGCATTTACTAGAAATAATGTCTTCATTAAACTCACATCACTAGAATGGCTATACCATATTTGTTACTATGATCCATTTTCCATCCCTGCTTTAATTATATTTAATATATATTTGTAGACATCTTTTCCAAAATTGAAGTTGTCTAAGAGATTAGGTGCCTACAAAATAATGTCTAGGGTTTTTAGTAGACATTATAAAGCCCTCTCAAACTGACTCCAGTTTACTCTTCTATTCTCTTATTCTGCCAACAACCTCCCCTTATACTCTAGCCACATCAAATTATATGGTATGTTCACATTCATGTGGTTTAATAGCATACTCGTGTTCTTAATTTTCTCTCTTCTTTAAGTGACTTCTTTCAGTTTGTTTTGGCATGGTGAATTTTCCTCCATCCTTTATGACTGAATTCAAAGTTATTGCCTCTTCAAAATTTTCTTCCATACCCCAAGCAGAGTTAGAATCCCTGTTAGGATTTCTTATAAACATCTATACCCATCTCCAGTTGACTTAGTATGTTGATTTACACTTAAAATTGTTAAATTTATTTACTTTCCAGGGTTGTAAAAACCTAACATTTAATCTCCATTTAGTTACCATTTTGCTAGAGGAGAGGGCAGAGATAAAAGGACGTTTGAGAATCTTTTAGAGAAGAAAAAATGAAAGTTTGGGGAAGATGGGTTTGAGTGAGAATGAGGAGACAGAGGCTTGCTACTACTAAAATGAATTAGATTAACAAAGTACACTCCACCACTTTTACCTTATTTTTCCTGACATTTGTATCTACCATTCTGATAGCTACCCTCCAAGAACAAATGGCAACGTGTAAGACATAGATAGACACCATTTCACCAATGCAGTACTCAACCTGCTCAACCAGTAGTATGGTCTTGGGTTGACCAATCAAATTCATGAGTTACAATAGGCTTTACCTAGTAACAAATTCAGTTGGCTTAAGAAAGTATATAGGGTGAGTAACAACAGCCTGTACATTAATGACGCAATGGGGTTCTTGACAGAAAGGCATGACTTCTGATGCCCCAATCACTCTGCAGTTGAGTCGTGCGTGGTCAAAAGGCACAAGACTGGGTGAGTGCAAAACACATTGTCAATTTAGAGACACTATCAGCTCTAGGATCCCTTCCATTTGTCCACCTAGCTAGTACATAGTGTCCTTAGAGGTATTTGACTAGCTCCTATTCACCAGCCCAACTATGCCTCATCAATATTGATTTTTCATTATTCATTAAAGGATCCCAACAAGGAAATACAGTTACCTGGCCCAATACACAACAACCTCAGCCAGATTCTCAATTATCTTGGACCCAGTATATTCTTAAAAGTCCTTGATTTAGTATTGCAAAGAGGAAAAGCCATAAATTCTTTCCTCCCAACCAGAAATAGATTTTTTTAACTCACAGGTAAAAGCACATTCCTCTACTTTTAAATATAATCTTTGGTTAAAATGTTCCTCTTCTTTAAAACAATGAAAAATATACTCAATGCTACCTATCTGTGTTCATGGAATATATTTAAGAGAAAAGATAACAAAATCCCCTGACACAAATGGATCCTGATGACTCAAGCAAAGTGACTTTAGTCCTAGTCTGTGGCCCCCAGAATGGTTTTCGGATGTTGAAATCCCGCATTGGGTCTTTGATTGCCCATGGTTATATGTTTCTGCCAAACAGGTCCTTGCAGTTTTGAGTGAAAGCTATTCTCAGCTGTGCTAATCTCTTTTCTTTGTCAAAGCTACAAGTCACCACTCACTGCTGTGTGTAGTTTCAGAGAGTCATGATATTTGCCTCCTGCAGCTTGGTCTAAATCACTGTGGGGAGAGGCAGCTGCTTTTTCCCTGGCAGAAAACTCTTTGGCTTCAGTCCTCCATGCATATTCTGAGTTTTTTATCGCTGGAGTGCAGATTTCAAAAATATTCCTTTAGCCTTTTTCTTTTGCTTGTAGTTGTATCCAAAAGAAAAGAAGAACATAAAATCATGCATATGACTACTTGAAAGTTTCTCCCAATAATTCTCAAATCTCTAGTTTGTAATTAGGAAATGGTGACCTGTGTGAATAGTGTAATAACTTGCCTAGTTCTTTATCCCTCTTTGTCTGGCTTCTGTCTCTACTCATTGTCTAATAAATGATTTATTAAGATTGCACAGAGTCCTTCTGCTTGAAGATATGGGATTTTAATCTTTACAGCCTCCTGTAGCTCTCTGCTTAAAGAGGTTGAACGTTTTTTTTTTCAATTAAAGAAAGTGGGAAAATGGATTTTGCTTTGCTTAGCTTTAAACTACTGAAAACCAAAAATAAGTTTTCAAACAGTTTTGAGGACATGCTCATTTTTTAACTCAGAAAAAGAAGCTGCCTTTTAAAAAATCTTAGGAATGAGTTAATGCAAAGAAAGTAGATATCCAAGCAGCTAGAGTTCTGTTTCCATTTGTAAATTTAAAGAAACTTTTTCTGACCATGGCAGCGGTGGCTACCTCTGAAACAAAAGGCCCGAGGCCATGCCATTTGGGTCATTTGTTTTCTCTAGTCAAACTCTGAGCACCTGTTAGAAAAATATGTAATACCCTCTTTGAGCCTCAGTTTTGCCTGGCTGGCACTTCATGCTTATTGATGAAATGCAGCTAGCTGTGTAATGAAACCCAAATAAAAAAAGCCTTAAGGGCTCTGTTCTAATACATTGTTTATGCTGGAGTGAAAATTGACTGCACATCGCTTGGTTTGTGCAATTTACTCCCGAAATTTTCCTATTCAGGAAATCCTGCAAATAGCAATATTCATCTTGAAAATCACCTCACAGAACCCTTGGCAAGCTGAGAAACATAATCAATGAGATCGTGATGTAGAGGGTGAAAATTAGGCGTAATCACAGCCCTTTCCCATCAGTCAGCCCACTAGAAGGCATGCCTTTGAATTTTGATTTTCAAATGTACTCTCAATTTAGACATAAAATATGTTGATTTCAGATTTCAGAAATGATAATTGAATGCTAAGATCTTGAGACCAGTTTAGAATTTCTATAAAGGATCTTATGTTTTTAATCTTTAATGAATGGTTTCAATAATGAGCTAGAGGTATACTATTTATCTGACATAAAACTGCCTAACTACTGCTTTCCAAACTTTTTATTAAAATATGAGGTGAGGGGGGTAACACATAATTTTATGTTAAGACTTACCGACTGAAATACTCTTATCTTGATGACAGGGAAGGCTTTTTCCTCCCCTTTGAGGGAGGAATGACTTTTCTTCTGTGGTTTATAAATAAACACAACACGTGGCTCTGCTGGCTCTTCCTTACTGTATAAGAAACATAATTGCCCATAATGTCAAATCCACACTGAAAACTACCAAAGCACTCAATTTTAGTGACTGACCATTAAAGTAACTAAACACCAAAAACCTTTTCTGTGTATGTTCACATTGCTGTGAGCATTGTTAAAGAAAAATTGCACTGGACAACTTAACAGGCAAGAGACTTTATTCAAAAGTTTTGTAATAAAGGAGAGAGATTAAAATCAATTCTGTTGAAACAGAAGGCAGTAGAGCTTTTAAGTGCTGGGCAAGTTAGTGGGAAAGTACTAGAGGTTGTTAGGGGGGAGGTTGATCAATGTCATTAGGCCAATCTGTGTTTGCTAATTGGTGCTTATCAAAGTTAGATTCCTACCTTCCCACTTAGACTAGCAGATAGGGGTGCTATCTTCCTTAATGATTGCATTTCAAAGGGATGGCTCCCAGGTCCTTGAGAAAGACATTCCTAGGGTGTAAAACAGACAAGAGGCTGGGAGAAGATTTATATCTCAAAGAGGCAGAGAAAGAATTTACACTAGGTTTCTAAAGTAAATGCTCTAAGAAAAGGGAGGTCAGGCCTAGAGTCAGGAATAAATCTGCCTCAAGTTTAGTTAGCTGAGGGTAAAGTTAAAGCCGTCTTTGAATAAATAAATAAATAAATAAATAAATAAATAAAGCCGTCTTTGTCAGTTCCCCCCTTTCTTTAAGGGAAACCAGTGTTCCCAATGAACAACTTGGGAAAGTTAGTCCATGTGGCTCATTTCAGCAGCTTTCTGATGTTGAAGGACTAGTTTAACCAACTCTGAGACTTCGTAGTAGAGGATATTTGCTGGGTGTTGTGAATAATCAGGCATTTAATGAGTGGGATTTCTAGAAAAGTGAGAAAGACAAAGATTAATGATTGGAACAGACTATAAACTCAATTTTTGAGCCGAGAGGGCAGCCAGTCAAGAAGATTCCTAAAGTTGGGCTGAACACATTCATAGATGGTGGAGTGAGAATGGCATTGGCAAACTGATGGATCTCCTGTTTTTTAGTTTAAATGCTTTCAATGATGGCATAGACA